TGCATGCTTTTAATCCCAGCAGAGGCAGAGGCAGGTGGATCTTGGTGAGTTCGAGGTCAGCCTGGTCTACATAGCAAGTTCCAGGACAGGCAGGGCTGTTATACAGAGAAACCCTTTCTTGAGAGGAAAGAAAAAAGTTTCCAAAACTTTGATTGAACTAGGTGTGGTTGGTATACACCATTAATCCTAGTTGGCGTGTGGGGGAGGGGGTGTACAGAGACTGGAGGATCTGTGAGTTTGAGGCCAGCCTGGTCTACCTAACAAGTTCCAGGCCAGCAAAGGTAACAAAAGCCCTGTCTGGTAGGGAAACATGAGGTCTGGAGTTAACTTGGTGGTTAAGAGCACAGCTGCTTTTCCAAAGAAGCCGGGTTCTATTCCCACGCCTACACAGTGGCTGGCTCACAGCTGTCTAACTCCAGTTCCAGGGATCTGATGCTTTGGGGGCCTTCATGGGCATGTATACAGACAGGCAAAACACCCATACACATTAAATAAAAATGAATCTTTTTTTTAACATTTATTTTATATGTACGAATGTTTGTCAGTGCAGCACGTGTGCAATGCCTGAATGCAGTGATCTTGCAACTTCAAGGCAAGTGTCCTACCACGAAGCCAAATTCCCAAGCCCCTTGGCTTTTTAGTTGTTTGTTTGTTTTAATAACAAAAAGATTAATTTTAGCATGCATGCACTAAATTTAATCTTAAAAAAACACATGAATGTGTGTGCATGTGAGTATGTACACTTGCCTGTAGAAGCGAAAAGGGTATTGGATCCCTTGGAGTTGTGGTTACAGGCAGCTGTGAACTACCTCACATGGGTACTGGGAACCAAACTCAGGTCCTCTGCAAAAACAGCAATCAGTCTTAACCACTGAGCATTCTCTCCAGCCCACCCCTCCGCCTTTTTTTTTTGAAGTAAGGAATACCGTGTGGGACACTAAGCCCTCAAACTCTTGATACTCTTGGCCTCTCTGGTGCTGACATTTGAAGCGTGCCCCACCATCCTTGGTTTCAGTACCTTCCCGTTTACTCTTAGTATACAAACAGCTCTAGCGTGCCTGTGTGTTCCTTGAGGGAGCCCACGAACCTTACTGTAACTGCTGGTGATGGCGTTCCTGAAGCCACTTTTTTCATCATATCTTGAGGTTATCCTTTGGCTTTTGTGAAAATCTTTCCTATCCTCTCCCCTATTTCCTGGTTTTTCTAACCACGCTTGCCCATGTTTGTTGCCTAATACCTTTCTTCAGTGATGGTATTCTGGGTTGTGTCCTTGCTTTCATCTTAGTGTGGGGGACCAAAATATTCCACAGTGGAAATATTTTGGTCATTCATCTTAGCCCAGACCCACTTACATGGCTATAGATAGCATAAACTTGAGTATTTGTTGAAATGGCCAGTAGACAGGAGTATAAGGAAAGAGAAAAGGTTAAGCTACCAGAATGTGGTGGATTACAACTTTAGGGACTTGTAAAAGTTACTGGCTATCTTTGTTCTAAGCCGGGTACATACCTGTGTTTATAGCAATAGGGAGGAAGAGCATGAGTTCAAGGCCAGCTTGTACACACTAAGACCCTATCTCAGAAAACAAAATCAGACTTCATTCTAAGACCCTGAGTTCTGTAGAGGTGCTAAACAGGGTGAAGTTTCTTGGTAAATGTTTTTCCTTTATCAAGGGTGACTTAGTTTATATATTTTCATGTATACTTAACAGTTGAGGAAAAAGTTTCCATTGATAATAGAAAAGTTTGGAGGTTATCGAAGTAAGAAACTTTTGTCTGATGGTATTGGTGGTGGTTTTGTTTTTTTTTTTGAGAAACAAGGTCCCTCCCCATCTGCTTAGAGAAGTTATGCTGAACTTTTTTTTATTCTACCACAGTGGTCTGAGCCTTGAAGAGCTGGGTGTACCCTGTCCTTACTTGTGGGCCCCTTGAGTGAGAGCCACAGTATGGAAAAGACTAGAGTGTGACTTGGAATGAGGCTCTAAAACCTTCAGCATTCTAGCTTCAGGCAGCTTGTCGTTTCATTCCAAGCCCATATTATATTTTCCAGGTACGGTCCTTGCCCGCTGCCTGGTTTTCCCTCTGATTGTGAAGGGCCAGCGAGAAGCAGTCAAGATCCACAACCACATGCCAGTGATACAGAAGTTTTCCACTCAAATCAGAGAGGCCAAATTGGCAGGGGATCAGGCTGAGTGTGAGTTGGCTACGGGGAGGTGTGGGAGGGAAGCATGTTTGCACTTGAGAAATTCTGCTGCGGGAGAGGGACAGGTGCGACAGTTGGGCATTTCTGATAAATCTAAAGGTCTATTCATTCCTTGGAAAGTTCATGGACCCAAGATGAGGTTGTTCACCCTCACTGATGTCACTCTTAACCCAGTGACCCATTTTCCTTCCCTCACAGTTTACAGGGCCTCCATAGAGATGACACGCTATCAGAAAAAGCACGATATCAAACTTTTGCGGCCACTCATTCTACCTCTCACTCAGGTGAGCAAAAATGTTCTCCTGATTGTTCATCCTGAACCTGTCAAGGTGTCTTCTGCTTCCCACCTCCCAAGATCCTCAGGAAAGCAAGGGATGGGGGCATGCATGGCTTTTAGTAACGGGGTTATGAAAATGTACGCCGTCAGATGTGCTGACTGTTTATCCTGTGTAACAGGCCCCCGTCTTCATCTCCTTCTTTATTGCCTTGAGAGAGATGGCCAATCTGCCTGTGCCCAGCCTACAAACAGGTGGGCTCTGGTGGTTCCAAGATCTCACAATATCCGATCCCATCTACGTCTTGCCACTGGTAGTCACTGCCACAATGTGGGGTGTCCTTGAGGTAAGCTGGGGGCTGGCGAAGCATGAGACCTGCCAGCAAACAGGGAGTAGTGTGCCGAGTGTGCCTTCCATTCCCTGGAAGAGTAAAGATGATGGGTCAGGGCTTAAAATTTACCATTCTTTTCCTCATCCCCTTTTTGGCAGCTAGGTGCTGAGACAGGCGTGCAGAGCTCTGACCTCCAGTTCATGAGGAATATCATCAGAGTGATGCCCCTAATGGTCTTGCCCGTGACCATCCACTTCCCCTCGGTAGGTAATGGCTTTATGGCTGCCTCCAAGTCCTTCCCCCTATTGCCTCTGAACAAGTCAACTGAACACCCAGCTATGAGCATCTTCTCTTTGCTCACACAGGCAGTGTTCATGTACTGGCTCTCCTCCAATTTGTTCTCCCTGTGCCAAGTGGCCTGCCTCCGGATTCCAGCTGTGCGCACAGTGCTTAAAATCCCCCAGCGTGTCATACATGACCCTGACACATTGCCTCCTCGGGAAGGCTTCTTGAAGAGCTTCAAAACAGGTAAGGGGTATTTATTGGGCGGTGTGGTGAGGAGAACCCTCCCAGCAAGCAGGAAGCCGAAGCAGGATTGCACTACCTAGCCACCCGAGGCGCCATAGTGACCTATGGGCTATGGATCTTGAGACTTAGGAATTTATTTTCTCTTCACACAGGCTGGAAGAAGGCTGAAATTGCACATCAGCTCCAGGAGCGTGAACAGAGGATGCAGAAACACTTGGACCTAGCTGCCAGAGGTAAGGAAGCCTTGCGGGCTAAATCCTGTCTTCCATTTCTTCTTTCCTCTGTTCACTGAGATTTGTTCTCTCTTCTCCCAGGTCCCTTACGACAGACTTTTACCCACAACCCTCTGCTACAGCACAATCCAAATCACCCTCCCAACACCCCCAACAGCAGCAGCACCAGCAGCAAGCCCAAGTCAAAGCCTTGGCACGACACACTTGGCTGATTTCTGCTCTGTGCTCATTCTGACAAGAACTCTGCATCTTCACAGATTCCTCCACCAAACAGACGATGCTGTGTCCTTGCCCCAGGCCTGGGAACTCCAGGGTTTGGAAGTGTCCGTTTTTAAAAATTGTTTCCACTACAGACTCTTATTCATGTGTATAAAAGAGCACTAGAGAGCCAAGTGACCCTGTCATCCACAGAGTTAGTAAACGTCTGTCTTGTCTGGGTTTCTTGATGTCTGGTTTTTTTGTTTTGGTTTGGTTTGGTTTTGGTTTTTTTTTTTTTTTTAAGATTTAATTATTTATTATGTATACAGTCTTCTGCCTTCGTGCCAGCAGAGGGCACCAGATCTCATTCAAGTTGGTTGTGAGCCACCATGTGGTTGCTGGGAATTGGACTCAGGACCTCTGGAAGAACAGTCAGTGCTTTTAACCTCTGAGCCATCTCTCCAGCCTTTGATGTCTGTTAAGTACGGAAGGGAGTTGTGCCTCAGAACTTCCATGGGGTGGGGAACAGTTGCCCACACTCACCCTTGCTCTTGGGAAGGAGCTTTGGGTTTTAACCCAGGCTTCAAGGCTGAGACCTACCTCACACACCATCCATCTACATTTGTGTTTGCACTGTAGAGGTGTGACGGGCAAGACTGTACGGCAATCTCTTGTGGGACTCTGTTGATCCTACATCTCCTGCCCTGAGCCATGTTTCCTGACCCCCCTCCCCGCAAGATTACCTTTACAATTTCTTTAAGAAGTAGATTGCTAAAATTCTGAGTGATAATTTAGAAGAATGGAGGCGGGGGTGGGGAATAGCTCAGCGGCTAAGAGTTCAAATCCCCAGCACCCATGAGAAAAGCTGGGCATTTCCCTGTTATTATGCCTGCAGCCCCAGTTCTGTACAGTGTAGAGACAGGAGGGTCACTTGGGCTTGCTGGCTATCAGCCTAGCTCCAGGTTGATCGAGAGACCCTGTCTCAAGGGAATAAGGTGGGGAGTGATGGAGCAGAACACCTAGTGTCCTCTGACCTCTGCACACGCACACACATAAAAAACGGGGAGGTTTTTATGTACTAGATTTTACATTTATAACATTTTAGTGCAACAGCTTACATGTATTGGTAGACATTGGTTTTATAACCTTTTGGCAGCTGATTCATGTAGTCTCCATGTCTGTTTTTGATCTGCATAAATACCTTGGAGTCAGTAAATACAGTAAAGCCACTCAGACTTTAGGAACATAACTTTTATTGTTTCGCATCTATGACAGTTTTTTGTCCCTCTAAAGGAGACCAGTTTGGAGCATTGTTGGCCCTTGTAAAGGAAAAAAAGGAGTGGGTAGGCACACCCAGGAACTTCTAGAACCAAGCTCCAGAAGTGGCCTGATTCCTGCCACAGTCTACATTAACCCCTTATGAAGTCTGAAACAACATATAGCTAAACAAATAAATTACTTTTCATCCCTCAAAGCAAGTTCAGAGTTGAAGCTGCCAAGGCTGGGCTCCTGGACAGGTGCCTCCAGAGAGGTTCTGGTCAATGGGACATAAGCACCTGTTTGTCCATGTCTCAGAATCCCAAGCTCTATTTAGACTTGCGACCTTGTTGTTTGGGCATCTCTTCATCTTCCAAATCCAGTTCTGCAGCAACTGACATACAGAGGATCTGGAGGTACCGTGTAGTGGAGGCTAAAGAGAGAAGTCTGAGGTAAGACTGGGAACAGGTTCAGTGGCACCAGAGGTGACTGGGCCTGAAAGAAGGGGTTCAGTTAAGCCATATGGTTAATAACAGGGACCAGTTGTGGTAAGGGGGACTTGGGAGCTTAGGTTTACAGAAAATGGCAAGGAAGAAAAGAAAGAAAGAAAAAAAAAAAGAAAGGAAGGAAGGAAGGAAGGAAGGAAGGAAGGAAGGAAGGAAGAAAGAAAAAAAGAAAAGAAAGCCATCTATTCAGGTAGCTGACCAACTTGAAGACCCAAAGCTTACCTACAATCCTTCGAAGGCAAAGAGGTCGTTTATGTTCCGGCACTCTGATGATGAGGAAGTAGAAGGGTAAGCCTGAGAGTGCAATGGCAATGCCGATGAGGGAGTTGATGGTGTCACTGTAGAGGGGCACGGCCACCAGGAAGATGGTACAGAGGCAGAAGACAATGGGGAAGAAAAGGCTGAGCTAAGGGTACAGAGGAAACAACTGGGGGTTAGTTAGCGTGTTGCTGTTTGTTGTTTTGAGATGGTCTCACTTTGTAGCCCGAGCTAGCCTTAAACCCATAACCCTGCCTCAGCCTGAATGCTAGGATTGTAGGTGTAGGTTGCTACACCCAGCTCAAAATTTCTAACAACCAAAATAATCACAATCCCATAAAGACAAAAACACCGAAGGGCTAGAGAAGGGAACCCAGTAGTATAGCACTCACTGGACATAAGTACTCAGCCTTCTTTCTGTCATCTGCATGCAGCAGCCACCAAGTCCTGGCATTGTTTGTGGGGTTTGGTTGAGTCTTGTTGAGGGTTTTTTTCAGGGGTCAATTGCTTATTAGGGCAGTGGGGTAAGAGTGCTGAAGATCCAACCCAATTCCTTGTGTATGCTAGACAGGTGGTCCACCACTGAGCTGTGTTTGCTTGGGAGGTTATTGTTTTGTTTTTATGTTAAAAAGCAAAACAGGATCTCATAAAGCCTAGCCTGGCCTTGAACTCCTGATCTTCCTGCCTTCACTTTCCAAGGGTTGGGGACGGGCACACACTACCATGCCTGGCTTCCCAGCCCTTGTGGGTTTTGTTTCAGAGTGTTTTGTTTCTTTAATGCATATGGGTATTTTGATGAATGTATGTCTGTGTACCACATACATGCCTGGTACCAGAGGAAGCCAGAAGGTACTGGATTCCTTGGAACTGAAATTACATTTGTGAGCCACCATATGGGTGCTGGGAATCAAACCTAGGTCCTCTTCAAGAGCCAGTGCTCTTAACCACTAAGCCATCTCCAACCCTGAGATGTTTTGTTGTTGTTGTTGTTTTTTTAAGATATTTATTTTTATTTTATGTGTAGGAGTGTTTTGCCTGCACATATGTGTGTCTAGTACCCACAAAGGCCAAAAGAGGTTATTGGATCCCTTAGAACTAAAGTTACAGACAATTGTGAGCTGCCATGTGGGTGCTGGGAACCACACCCAGGTACTTTGCAAAAGCATCAAGTACTCTTAACCACTGAGCCATCTCTCCAACCCAACCCTTGGTTTCCTAACTGTAGCTATATGCCACTATGCCTGACCTAGGGAAAGGATAAACCCCTATAAGAACCTGCAGCAGCAGCACTAGCTGTACTAAATGGAACAAAGATGGGGTAAGGGAAATGGATTACCTTGAGAGGGCGAGGCCGGTCAGGTTCCTTCCATCGTAGATAAAGCTGACCCACAATAGAAAGCCCCACAAAGAACCAGTAGCTGAAGCTGTAGTAGTTAATGAGCTGGAAGATGTCCTCCACACATAAGTAGACCAGTGCCAAGATACCCTGTTGATGCAAGACCCAGTCAGCTCCTCTCAGGCCCTGGTTATTCTAGGTGCTTTCCGCCACTCCTAACCCTCACAAGCCCATCCCAGGCCACATCTTCCCAGTCTCCGTGTCTGCCTCCTGCTCCCACCATGCAGCATTCTTGGCTGGTTCTTCATTCCTCCTCTATTAAAAGAAACTTGCCTTTAGTCAGGTGGTGGTGGCACACGTCTTTAGTCATAGCGCTAGGGAGGTAGAGGCAGGCAGGTCTCTGTGAGTTCAAGGCCAGCCTAGGCTACAGGAGTTCCAGGACAGCAGGGCTACACAGAGAAACCCTGTCTCGGAGTGGGGGAAAAAAAGCAGACAGGTGTAGTAGCACACAGAGAAATCCTGTTGGGGAGCAGGGGGAGATATTTGCCTCTCATCTCGATTTTTAATGCATTCTTCAAACCTTCACCAAGTTAACTCTAACAGTTCAAAGCCCACAGAAGTCTTGGGCAAAACCCTCCCTGTAGTCTCTCCAACTAACATGTCTAGTTCTCCTGTGACAAACTCCACAAAGCTTTATCAAAGGACTTTGTGACGCTGTCTCCCTAACCATCATGATCCACCTTAAAATGTCCTTCTCCACAGATATTTTCTCAGCCAACTTCTGCCCCCATGGAAGTGGTCATTTCTTCTCTTCAAGGGTGCATCACACACCAATATGGCAATTAATCATTACAGTGTGATCTGCGCTCCCTCCTCCTTACTTGGACCACAGAAGTTTGAGTTGTAGGAACTTTCATCAGCAGTTGGCACAGTGCATCAATACTTTTTAGGTCACAGCCCCCTTTCTGGCTACATCTAGCCTTCAGTGTCACCCCTGAGGTAACTCACATTGAAGAGTAGAGAAGGCACTGGCGTGAACCGCTCAACATGAATCATACAGATGGCATCAGGGAGGTGGCCTTCTCTTGAGCCCACAAATAGAAGCCTGTTGAGGTAAAATAAGAGAGACTGACAAAACGGTGGGACACATAAGGCAACCTGTGTCACTTGTCACATTATCCTCCCTCTCTGCTATCCCTTCAAAAGGTCTGGATAACAAAAAAAAAATCAGCATGGAGCTTAGAAATGGGGGTTGCTAAAAGGAACAAGAAGTGAGGGACTGGGACTGGGGAACCCTGAAATTCCAGTCCTAACATTTGACTTGTCTCCACCAAAGCTTTGCATGATACCCACCCTGTCAGCAAAAAACGACAGCCCTACCTGGAAGCAGCCACAATGGAAGCATTGAGGCCACCAAAGCAGGATAACGCAACTGCCACTGGAATTGTCCAATTGAATATTCCAAAAATCCGGTCTGCAAAGGTCTAAGACAAAGGAATAGAAATCGTTAGAAGATCCTTAAGGGATGAAAAGCATGCACAGGCACATGCCCAAATTCCTGTATCAGTAGTCCAGTCCTTTCCACAGTGAAGGTAACAGGACCTTCTTGCAAGCCCAGTATCCTAAATATACTCTTACCACGCCATCTCCTCCCTATCCGGGACTGATACTGGGATATCCCAGAAGTCCACAACACACCCTCATGCTAGTGAAAACGCTTTACCACAGCAACAGCTTCACTCGCCAAGATGTCCTTTATGTCTAGCACACTGTAATAGGCCACGTTGGTCAAGAGGTAGATGATGGTGACAATGGGCATGGAAATGGCAATGGAGAGGGGCAAGTTCCTACAGTCAAACAGCAAAAAGAAAAAAGGGATATGTTAGTCCTACCATTTAATCCCTACCTCTCAGTCCTCAGACTCTGCCATACCATTCTCTCCAAGGATGCAGACATCTGTGTTTCCCAGGTCCTTTGCCTCTGAGGTTGCCTGAAGTATTGGCATAAGCTCTGAACTCTTAAAAACTGAAAAGCAGTAGGGGGAAGAAATACTCCCTTAGAAAAGTAATGCAGAAAATGTGACGTTGCATGTAGTGTTACTTATAATCCCAGCTACTCTGGAGGCTGAGGTAGGAGGATCCCAAGTCAAAGACCTGTGTGGACAATTTAGTAAGACTATTTCAAAATAAAAACAGGCTTGAGATGGCCCCATGGTTAAGAGCATTTGTTGCTCTTGCAGAAGACCTGGGTTCAATTCCTAGCAGCCCACAATCACCTGTAACTCCAACTCCAGAAGAGCTGAAACCCTCTTCTGGCCTCTGAGGGCAGTGGGCACACATGGTACACCCATGTATGTGGAAAGACACCCACACAGAAATTTTTAAAATATTTTTCAAATCAGAGAGCTTGAGGGCAGAGCTTAGTGGTAAAGCATTTGTCTAGCATGCCTAAGATCCTGGGCTCAATCTCCAGTACCACCAAAAAGACAACAAAAGGGAAATTGACCAAGAGCTGTGTTGTGTTCCGGCATAACAACAGGAAGGTGGTCGAGGTCAGGAGCCCATCTCTGAGCACTGGGAAGTGTGTCTTCAAACAGAAAGAGAAGAAACCGGAGAGGCAAGACTGTGGAATCTCATATCTTCAGTAGAAAGAACAGTGTGTGCATCAAACAGGGATGTCACTTCAGAGAACTCCAGGTACCATCCTGACTGACAGCCAAGAAAAAGACACAAAGACCCATCAAGATCTCTCAAGAGCCAAAAGATCACCAGCTATATAAATGCCCTTGACAATGAGACTGCCAAGAGGAGAGGGGACAAATACATGTAGCGTCTGTTTTTCTGGTAGTGAGAATTGAATCAAGGATCAAGGACACATCTATCTAGAGCCCTGAGCAAAGGCTCTACATGAGCTATACCCCAAGCCCTCTTTTGTTGTTGACAGGATCTCAGCAAGTTGCTCAGAAAGGCCTCGAACTCACTCTGTACCTGGGCTTTGAACTTATCATGCTCAACTCCAGAGTAGCCTTCACCATGAGGCAGGCTTGCAAATAGTCCAGTCATTCAGCTTCTGGCCAGTAGGTGGAAGCACCACTCCCCAGCCTCCACTTGCACCTCGTAGCCCTGCTCCTCCATTGCAGTGCGGGCAGATGTGTACTAGGAAGCCTTTTTGTTTTTAAAAGCCAAAAGTTGGTTTGTATGGGAACTGTTACAATTTAGGGAAATTATCTCCTGGAATATCTTAGTTTTTAGGATCATAATATTTTAGAGTCAGGAAAGGCCATGGAAATCCACTTAACTTTGTATTAAACAGCAAAGGCTAGGGAAATGGCTCAGTTGACAAAGGTGCTTGCTTGCCCTGCAAGGAGGGTCTGGGTTTGCACTTGGAGCCCACATGCAAATGCTGGGTGGGGTGTGGAGGATGGTGTGTACTTGTGACCCCAGAATTAGGGAGGTGGGGACAGGAGGACCACTGGGGTTCCAAGACCAGCCAGCCTAGCCATATTAGCAAGCTGCAGGCAGGTGAAAGAACTGGTCTCCAAAATAAACAAAAAAAAAGATGGGACCTGGAAACAGTTAAGAACACATATTCTTTCAGAGGACCCAGGTTCTGTGAATGCACATGGTTGTTCACAACTGTCCATAACCTGGGCCAGGAGCTCCTACCCCTCTTCTGACCTCTGGTGCACACCCATGCACTCAGGTGCGCACACATACATATAAAAGTATATTTTTTTAAAGTGGACAGTACCTGAGGAACAACACCCAAGCGTTTCCACAAACATGTGTGCACACAGCAGACACATACACAAAAAGAGCACCAGGCAAACTGGGCATTGGCAGGAAGGTTACAAATCTGAGGCCAACCTGACTACATGCATAGTAAGATGCTGTCACAGAAAGAAAGAAAGAAAGAAAGAAAGAAAGAAAGAAAGAAAGAAACTTAGTAAAGAAGAAAGGAAGGGCCAGGCATGGTGGCACACGCCTTTAATCCCAGCACTTGCTGAGGCAGAAGCAGCTGGATCACAATGAGTTTGAGGCCAGTGTGATCTACATAGTGAGTTCCAGGCCAGCCAGGGCTACACTGTGAGAGTCTTGTTTCAAAACAAAACAAAGGAAAAACATAGAACCGAAAGTGCACGGCTGCAAAAAGAAAGAGCAGCTGTTGGTCCTCTAACAAATCAAGGAAAGACCGATCTCAAGACCCATGGCTCCCAGTGCAGTGCTCTTTATTCTGCACGACTGTGAGGCAATTCAGAGCAGCACTGGTGGGGTGACCCAGTGAATGGCTGGAACAGTTGCACGCTGTCAGTATGAATTAGGGCAAAGAGAACGGGTTCGGAAGGGAACTGGAAGAAGGAAGTCTATGACCTAAAGCTATCTATGTAGGGTAAGGGTGAGTGGAGGTCTTAAGACAGAAAGAGCTTTATGACACTATCTCACAACGCTGCTCAAATTAGTTTACAAATCTGAGGGCAAAAGCCATCCTCTTGCTTCAGTCTCCCGAGTAGCTGGCAAGGACCTTGGGTGTTTAAAAACAGATAAAGCACAAAGCATAGATAACCTGCTTTATTTAATGGAGAAATGAATGAATGTACAAACTTTCTAAAAGGATTTGCAAAGCACATGCAAGAAAGTGCACATCTTAGCATAGTGACCACAATCATGGACAATTAAATCTCTAGGTCTCAACTCTGTTAAAATCAGGCTGAAGAAATGAATCCCAGAGTTGAGAAGATGTGATGCCGGGCACGGAGAAGCTCAGTCAATGATGGCTAGCACTGGTACGGAAAGTCAGTGGTAAAGTACCTACCTCTCAGGATTCCTGATCTCTTCAGTGACATAATTAAGGGTATCCCAGCCTGAGTAGGAGAACAAAGCTGAGTATAGTGCCAGGGCAATGTCACCCATTGCAAATGATGAACCCTCAAAGGAATTCTCAAAATTAGTTGTGGCTCCTGGAAGGTGAAAACAATGGAAGACAAGATTTAATGGCCCACTCCTACTTCAGCTGATACTGTAAAGGAGAGAAAGCATCTGGTAACATCAGCAGGGAAAGTTCTACAAGGGTACCACTGAGGGGCGGGGACAGAGAGGCATCTACAGAGGGCTGCAGTACAGAGAATCATGAATGTGGTCTTGTCAGGAAGAACTCAAGTGGTCTAGTATAAGAAACCACACCAAAGCCAAATAGAGCTAGTCATTGGGTGGTGGTCTGCTCCACACCGCAGGCTGCCTGAGTCCTAGCCACTTTCTAACACTAGACAGGGATAACACTCAAAAAGGGGAGACAGGGTTCAGGATGCCCAGGTCAACAGAGCAGTTACAGGAAAGGCTTCATACCGGACACCAGGTAGGAGTGAGGACAAGGAGTGCATTTCTGACTGCTCACTTCCAAGGGCAGAAATGGCAGAGCAATAGCACTAGGCCCAGCAAGCTGTAAAAGCCAATCCCTGGGGTGTGGCTGTCAGCCCCCTTGCCCAGGACAGTTCCCTGTGGGAACAGCATAGCAGATGATGATGAAGGATGGGCTTTGGCATCAGTCTCTGGGGCACAAGTTTCAACTCTTCTAACTTGAGCAAGAGAGTCTGGGTGATCTGTCTTGGACTCTGTTGTTTTAAAATGGGGTCTCACTGTGTATCCCTGGCTGGTCTGGAACTTCTATGTAGACAAGCCTGGTCTCAAACTCAGAGTGCCAGAATAAAGTATAAACCACCACACCCAGATTTTGTTTTTATTTTGAGATAGGGTCTTCTGTGTCCCTGATTGGCCTCAAATTGTCTATGTAGCTGAGGATGACATTTAACTCCTGTTCCTCTGGCTGCACTACCTCACAAGTACTGGAACTATAGGTAAGTACCACTCTGCCTGGCTTAAGATAGGTAATTCTGGGGCCTGTTTCCTCACCTATATAAAAGGAATAATAGTGTCTACCAAATATGGTATTTGGAGATTTAGATATCAGTTTCTAATATCAAAGTAAGGTTGAAGTTGTAGATCTGAGATATATGGCTTGCCTAGCATGGCCCAAAACTCTGGGTTTGATCCCCAACACGCCAAAGAAAAAGAAAATGTTTAATAAAGACTAGTCACTAGTTTTGTTTTGTTTTTCTTACCCTGGCCAAGTGTAACAATGCCTGCAATGATGACTGCGATCAGTGCCAACACTTTAGCATAGGTGAAAATATCTTGGACCAGGGTTCCCCACTTGACATAGGCACAGTTAACAAAGGTTAAGAGACCTGAAAGAAAAGGAATACTGATCAAGACCTACCCATCCCACCTGGAGGCCTTAGACTCCAAAGCAACTTTTCCGGCACTAGACATCAATATGAACCCATCAAAGAGTCAGCTATGTATCTGGGCTGTGCCTGTCCTGTTCCCCCACCCCACCCCCCAACCCATTATCCTCAACGTCATTACTGCCAGGCATTCGCTGAACACATGTTTCCATCACCACACTCCCAAACCCCAGTACCTTAAACACAGAGCAAGGTGGCAAAATTCCTGTTCAGAGAAGTGGGAAGCACCTGGGAACTGTGCAGACTCGCACTTTATTCTGGTCCTTGGCTCCTTAGAACCAGTTTCTCCTTCCTATGAGCACGTACACACACGCACACACAGGTCTAGAACCCAACATCCTGACTCTATGCTATTGCTATTAACCTTGACAAGTCCTGCTGTAACTTATTCAATGTCTAGGTCATCAGGTTAGTGTGTGTGTCCAAGGATTAAGAAGAAGACCAAACTTCCTGCCCCTGCCTGCCAACCCAGCTATTTGTTTTGTGTTTGGTAAAATTCTTGCAGCTAAAACAAGTTCTTGTAGGAAGAGGGCAGAGCATGTTTCCTACCTGAACAGTATGAGCCATAAACATTCCTCAAGTCCTTCTACCTTGGGCTAGAGGCAGCCCCTCTACCTAGATGAAGGCAGCGACAAGTTCACAGACCATGCTCAGAGAAAGTGTTCGTACAGGGCTCAACAGTCTCTTGAAGACTGTTATGGCGAATGGACATACACATTTCCCTAAAGAGTCCATATCTTTCATCAAAATCTCAGCGTAGTGGCAGGGGGTACAGCTCAGTGGTAGATAATGTGTTCAAATGAATGAAGCCCTAGGTTCAAATCTTTTTACCCCAAACAATAATAATCTCAGAAAAATTCATTAGCCCAAAAGTTACAATCCATTACTTTGGGAGAAATTCAAGAAGGGAAGCCCACACACGCTGTGAGGCTGGCTAGAAGCCCAGGGATTCTGGATCCGGAGGCGAGAAAGTCAGAGAAAACAATTCTGAGACAGCTTCTCCTAGCTCAGCAACTGGAACACCCCACAGAGCACTTGACTGTCGCGTCTCCCCACAGAGCAAAACCAGCCTTGCCGGTGAAGAAAGGGGAACCCAATGTAGGGTTCAAGCCACCAACACAATTTTAAAACAAAAAAGCCACTCCCAGCCTAAGGCTTTCAAGCACTCAGAAGACTGAGGAGGATTGCCTAATGTTATATCCAAAGGAGACTCCAATTCCCCAAACTCCAAATACAGTCCAAATATCCAGAAATGAACTCAACCTGGACTATAGGAGGGTTTCTGGAGGTTAGATAAAAGCCAGCATTCCTCAGGAACTTGTGAAACTGGTTCCCATCTACCAAAAGGAGTCATTTCCCTTATCACTGGCAGAAGGGACATATGACTACCTGTGGTGTCTATCAGCGTATCAAAGTGCACGCTGGCCTCCAGGCTCCCTCAGTGTAACAGGTACCCGTCATACATGTCAAAGTCCGTGCTAGCATCCTGCCCTTCTCACTTTCTCCCCTCTCCCTCCAGCTATCCCAGCTATTTGTACTTTTTATAACCCTGCTATTTTCACTATTCCCTCTCTCTCTCTCTCTCTCTCTCTCTCTCTCTCTCTCTCTCTCTCCCCCCGCGTGTGTGTGTGGGTGTGTAAAACCTTCCCCTTAACCATACCATGGAGCAGTCATGTTGTCAGTTCATACACCTACAAATTTTAACTTGAGGCCAGCCTGGATTATATAGTGAATCTCAAGCCAGTCTGGGCTACAGAGACCCAGCCTCAGAAAAGAAAGGAAGCAACCTTAAGTCCTCTGAATCCTGGGACCGCCTTCAGGGTCCACAGATCTCCTGTGGTTGTTAGGTCCTGGCCTCATTCTTATTCTAACCCAGAGGCCACTGCACTAAGAAGCAAGGGAAATTAGCCATCTTCTATTCCAATCTCTTTGGGGGGGGGGGGGGGGGGGCGCAAGTGTGTGTGTGTGTGTGTGTGTGTGTGTGTGTGTGTGTGTGCGCGCGCGCGCGCGCTCACTCATGCAGACTCATGCAGGCACATGCAGAAGCCAAAGCCAATGTCAGGTATCTTCCACAATCACTTCTCCCCCTTACCTTTTATTATAGTTATTCCCATGTCACAGCACACACACACACACCTGCAGGTCAGAGGACAACTTGAGGGAGACAGTTATCTCCTTCCACCGTGTGGGCCCTCGGGGTCAAACTTGGGCTTGGTGGCAAGAGCCTTTACTGACTGAGCCATCTTGTCAACTCTCCACCCTACTTTTTGAAGATAATCTCACTGCACCTGGAGCTCATCGATGTGTCCCCAGTCACTCAGCAACATGGCATTTTCAGCAGGTGCTGAGGCCCTGAACTCAGGTCTCCTTGCTTGAGCAGCAGGTGCTTTGCCCGGTGAGCCATCTCCCCTGCACCGCTCCTGCCTCTTTCTATTCATTGCCTACATTGTTTTCTAATTTTACTGAGGGGTATTCCAGCTCTATTCAAATACATGTCTTCGTGCCTAATAGACATGACAATAAACAACCAAACCTTATCACAAGGCTGAGCAAACATGAACCCATCGTTCCAGGTCGCCCTACTGCTAAGTTAATAATTAAAGACACAAGTGTACTGACTCTTCAGTAATCCTACAGAATAAATGGCCTTTATCTTGCCCTCCACAAGCCTGTCAAATGCTGATCTTCCTCAGCAGTCATCCATCCCTTACTCTCCACTGGACTTCTACCCTCAGCTCTTCGACTGCCTCAAGCCCGTCTCCTCCTCCTGTAATCTCTAGTCCTCACCGTTAGGCTCTTCTCTGGCTTATAAACATAATACAAACCAGGTTTCCTTTAGAAACACCAAGCTGCCTTATGCCTGACCAGGAGAGTGGGATCCCTTAGGACTGGAACCACCAGCAGAAATGAAGACACTCTGAAGTGACTTGTGGCTAGCAGACTATTGAAGCAATGGTCCCCGGGAAGTTGGAATTTCCCTGGGAGTCTCATGCTGGGAGAAGAAAAAGGCTGAAGCCTGGTGCCAACTGGAGCAAAACCTTGTCACTCAAACAGATTTCACACAGTTCTGACAACTTCTCAGGCTACTTTGCAAGAGAAACTAGAGCTAAAACAATGAGGGGCCAGGGTGGCCAACACCACTCTGTTACTGGGACCACTTAGCCATGTACATCTTCTACCCTCTATTTAAACCTAAACCTCATATTAGTATCTACTGGACCTCTTCACCGGATTCTCTTCCCTGTGTAGCCACACTCAGTCAATCTCCCCGCCCCCCTTACTTTCGACTCTTACTTTATCTCTCTGAGTGGCCTACTATGTATGGACCAGGTAGCCCAGCCTAGCTCTATAAGGCCACCAGGGCCCAGGGTCTTCCCCTAGCAAGTCTGATAACATAACAAGTTCCTGGTTAGGCTGCACAGTAACCATGGGTCACAACATGGAACTGGAATAGACATAAGGGAATAGTTGTAGTTCACAGAGTCTGCAGCTCTATGCCACAGGGCTCTTGTCTCTGTTCTGTTTGTGGACATAAGCACAGAAAAGTAGAGACAGCCAACTCGCTCCCCTTTCTTACAGAAACCCCTGCCATGGGAATGCAGAGTTCTCAACCTTCCTAATGCTGAGACCCTTTAATACAGTCCCTTATGTTGTGGTGACTCCCAACATAACTGTAATTTTTGCTACTGCTATGGTTGTAATGTAAATATCTGATATGCAGGATATCAGATATGTGACCACTGTGAAAGGGTCATTCTACACCTCCCCAGGTGTGTGTGACCCACAGTTGGAAACCACTGCTGTACAGGTTGTTTGTATTTTGATCCCTACTGCTTCTCTGCCCATTCACTTCATCCCTCCTGTGACCTCCCATGTTCTCGGCTACGGTACTTCTTTTTCAGTCACAGATCCACCATCATGCCCTGATACTCGGCTCTACCCTTCCAGGGCTTTCAGCTTCCTCCAGAGCTTCTGGCCCTGGGAACAGGAAATGGACAAGGCAAGCCTCTGTGCTGAGTAGGCTCTTTGTCCCCACCCCTAACAGATACAGCTGACTAGAGTCCCCAAAGCTCAGCCAAATGCATGACTCTTGAAACAAAGCCCAACCTCTTGCTTCAGAGTCAGAGACAAGAGAGGAAAAGTAGGGTTAGAATAACAGACACAACTGCAAGTTAACCTCTAGACAGATACTCTACCCTTCTACCTCTGTGGGTAATTCAGTCTGCACCCAACACTGAGCCAAGTCCATGGGAGGATTGCCTAAAATAACCTTTAACCTTGACCCAGCTGTTTCTCCATTCCTGGTTTAACTTCAGGGGAAAAAGCAGCTGCTGCAAAGATGTCACTCCTGTAACCGAAAGAGGTACTCTAGAACAGATCATCCCAGCAGATACGAGGTCCCCAGGAGGAGGCAGGCTCTACCACTAAGGTCTAGAATCAGCACTAGAACAAAATGGAAATCCCCAGCTCAGGTTATTCTGAAAAGGAACACTGAGGAGCTGAGCAGGTAAGAGCACTTGCTGTTCTTGCCAAAGACCCATGTCTGGTTCTCAGCACTCACACAGCGCCTTACAACTACCCATAACTCCAGTTCTAGGGGACCATACACACTTCTAACCTCTGCAGGTTCCTGCATGCATGTGACACATACATACACTCAGCTACATATACATAAAAAAAAATTCTAATCAAAAAGGAGCAATGCCTTTAGCCTGCTCTAATCAATGCCCGGGTTTGCTTCAAATAGTCTAAAGTCCCACAAACAAACTGTAAGTCCTTATCCTGTGGAGATTAATCCTGAAGTTTTTATAAATTAAATGTTGTCTTAGATAAGCTTCAATAATCTCATGGGGACGAAACAGTGACAATTTACACTATGCTGGAATCCCTTACGCTCGTCCCATCATTCCACTCTACTTTGGCATTAATCCATGCTTGCA